CATATAGATATGTAAGTCTCACTTATATGAAGCTATAGGAACAAAACCCTTGCAATTTGGTTGAGTGTAGGGTGAAAACTTTGGGTTTGAGTGCAAATGACTATTGGTTCTCTGTCCTGAGGGGAAGATGAACGGATGTCATCCATTTCCGTGTACTCAAAACAAATGACAGAGATCAAGCTGAGGCAGCGTAACAATAGATCATGGGCCACCTCAATGCTAGCGTGGAAAACACGATCAATAGCGAAGCGCCACGTGGGATTTACACGCATACAAGTCTGACGCAGTGCCACATGGGTTTAAGTATGAATTTCAGATTTTCTGAATTAAATAAATCTAGAATAATCTAATGAACATTAAAAAAGATCATATCTTAAAAAATAAAATAAAAGTACCTCTAAACTCAGTGAATAGAGAAAAAAATAATAAAAGTGAAAACATAAAATAATTAACTTATATATGAGTTTTAATTAATTAAAGAACTTCGTAGGTATTTTAATTATTAGAAATTAAATATAGATAATAAAAATATGAAATTTTTAGGAATTATTCCCTCTGTCACTATGGATATTCCCTGATTTTTCCAAAGTTATGAGACCTCCATACACCAAAATGTCTAATTTTCTACATAATCATAATTATTTTGAAAAATAACTAAAAAAATAAAATATAAATAAAAAAATATAAATTAAAATGGAAATTAAAAATAAAATTTAGGACAACAACCCTAAACACTAAAATGACAATTTTCATTTCAAAAAATTTAAAAACGAAGCTAGAACATTAGGGGTAGATTTGTAAAATTATAATTTTGCATTTTAGCCCAAATTGTCTCTTAAACTTAAATTAAGCACAAAAAAATCAACTTAGAAAACCTAAGAACTACCTCTTAATGAAACATTAAATTAGTTGAAGAGGGTTACCCTCATCATTATAGTTTAACGTTAATATACCAAGTTTAAATTCAACCTAGGTGTAACCCAATTCAATTCAAACTTAAATTCAATCTATGTCTAACCCAACTTAAATCTAACTCAACATAAGTGACTTCAAGCTCAACTTAGAACTAGCCCCAATTTAGGCTTAATTCAAAATAAACTCAACTCTAAATTTAACTCAGGTCTAGCCTAAACTAGACCTAAATCAGTCTAAACTCAATCTAAACCTAATTTAAGTTATACTCAACTTTAAATTCAACCTAGGTGTATCCCAAGTTAGACCTAGTCCAATTCAACTCTAACCTTAATTAGGTCTAACACAACCTAGAACTAACCCAAATAAACCCAATCCCATGCAGGTCTACTCTACCTAGACCTAATTCAACCAAAATTTAAACTTAATCTAACATAGGTCCAACCTAATTTAGACCTAATTCAACTTAACTCAAGTTTCAAATCCTAAACTTAAACATAGGGTTAGTCCAACCCTAAACCAAGCTTAACTTAACTTAAATTTTAAACATATCTTAAGTCTAACCTAAATTAGACCTTATTTAATTGAGACTTAATTTTGGTATAACCTAACTTAACCAAACCTTAAATACAACTTATGTCTAACCCAATTTAGGCCTAATCCAACCTATTTCAAACCCTAAACCCTAAACCTTAACTCAAGTCTAACCCAACCTAAACTTGAAACAACCAAATTTTAAACTTTATCTAACTCAAGTCTACTAGACTTGACTTAACCAAATCCTAAAATTTAATTTAAGTTTAACCAACCTAAACTTAGTTCAAGTCTAACATAACTTAGACTTGACTCAACCAAATTAAACTCAAACAACTCGGGTCAACTGGCCTCACTCGGGTTAACCTGAGTCAACATGAAACATAAGTTGGGTTAACCCAACCATCTTAAAACATGCATGTGTCAACCCGGCTTAACCTAAGTTAACCCAAATCAACTTAAAACCATACCTAGGTCAACCGTCCAAACCCATGTTAACCCAAATAAACTTAAACCATATCTAGGTCAACCCAACCTAACTGCGGTTAACCAAAATCAACTAAAATCAAGTTTGGGTCAACCTAAGTTAACCTGGGTTAGCCCAAATAAACTTAACCAAAACCTGGTCAACCCGACCAAGCCTGGATTGACCCAAGTCGGCCTAAAGTAAATCCAGACTAGTCTAAGTTAACCATAACCAAACTAAATCGAGTGAAGGAGTGTTTGATTTACCATGAAGAGAATAAAAACACAATTAACGCAATGAGAAATGACACAAGATGAAATGCAAAATAAGCATAAAAAGGCATAACATAGAACACACCCTAAAAATCATTAAAACTTAAACTTCAACCATAAGGTGCAACTTGGCTTAAGAAGGAATTTTAAGGGAGGTAACCCATGACTGCTAAGGAAGTACCTTTGAGTCACTCACAACAAATCAAACCGCGAACCAAATAACCCCGGGAGTACCAAGCCATGGGATCTCGACTGGTCATTTAAAAAATAAAAATAAGAAAAAACTTATAAAATTTGATCGACTGAAAAATTTTAAGCAACCTAAAACTTTTAACCCCTTAAAATCTTGAAAAAACACTAAAACTTGAATGAAATCCTAATGAGCAAAGATCATCAAACGCAACTTTAACCCTGCTACTTGGAGACGAAGATCTCTTGGAGGACATAACCCATGGTTGTTGACTGGAATCTTCTAGTTAGAATTGGCTTGACCACCTCTCTAAACTAAGTAGATTAGGGAGCCCGCACCAACTCATCAAACTAATGCATTAATACTAACTCTATTTTGCAGGGTCCCTGAAGACAAAATGCAAGGCGAGATTTATTTTACATGTTATTAAGGTATGCAAACTCTGCTTTGCAAGGCTGACATAAATAAATGAGATGTTAAAGTAACCTAGGTTCTTTTTCTTTGAGACTTCTTTCTTTTGTAGAGTTAAGAAGCGTTGTGATCAGCTGACTATAAATATTCGAACCATCCAAAAGAAGACAAAACACGAAGAAAATAATGAACCTCAACTAAACCATCAAAGGTAGTTTGGATGATGTCGGTTGGCAAGCCTGACACAAGTTAGGGTTGACAACCATTCCGTCATTTGGTTTGCATTCATTCGATAGGTCTCCCCAAACTATAGGCCGACATTCACATTTTTGCCTTTTGTCTGGATTACCAATAAACTCACTTAAGGACTAAACCTTCTGGCCCAACCTAAATTACTTCAACTTATTTTTTTTTTCAAAATGACACTCATCACCAAAACGAAACCACTTAAATCACTGCATCCACAACCATAGAAGCATCATGCATCTAACAACCTCAATTGGCACCAAAATAAAATTGAGTAGAAACTCCTTTTAAATTTAGGAATATGAGAGATAATATGATTTGTAAGCATATGCATAACATATTGCTCATATTCCTTGTCTTCAAGCCCTTACTCATTGGACGAAAAGGGGTGGTTTGACCCGTGAGAACCACTACTTTATAGAGTGAGTTTTTCCCATGCATATCGATTGCCCTTTTCAACAGACTTTCTATGCATTCATCATCAAGGACATGCATAACCCATTACACATCTTGCTTTGATGCACTCAACACCAATTAAAGCTAAACATTTGAGTGTGGTGAGGAATAAAACATTTGAATTTGAAATTTCAAAATAGATTTGCATTTGTCTTGAGACATTACGCTTACCATACATGCCTATGTAGCTTGATTTATAATCAAGTTATAAGGCATATAACTACTAATAAATAACATCCTACCCTATCTTACATCATCAAGATTGGTTATGCATAGTTTTCAATACAATTAGGTTTTTTTAGATGACAACCCTTTCCAGATAGGGTTATTACTTCATTGCATTGGATGTTTTTCTTCTTCTAGGTTAGGGCCCTGAAGCTTCACCTCTTCTGGTAAGCTTCACCCTAGAACTCCTAGGTTGTTCATACATTTTCGATGTAAATCCTCTAATTTAGGCTCATGCATGATTGTATGCTATGTAGTCCTGGCATTCTAATAAATTGTCAGAATAAAATATTAAAACATTTCTATAAAAGCGACAAGATTAAACTTCTTGAGGATAAGACAACAATTTTAATTGAATGTTTTATTAAGTAGCTCAAATCGATTAAGCTGTAATTAACTATAGGGGTTTATCCCTATATGAAGAAGAAGACCCCAAAACTAATCTAAACCTATTTAGTCTCCAGATTAGATAGGGGAAGTACCTGGCGTATTTAAATCACAGAACAATGATGATATCCAACATTTTTTTTATTTAAATAATCATATGTCTAACTTTCGAGGTGGTTTACTACTTTCAGTGACATGCTTGATTATTTGAACAACCCAAATCTTCAAATCAATACGCTATTTAAAAGCCCCGTGTCACTGGGAAAATAAAACCCGACATAATGGATAAAGGTCACAAGATTTGACCAATGTTCAAGTACTTCTTCTTAAAAGCAAAATGCGCTCACATTTTCTAAAATCTTAAACTAATAAGTCTTTAAGTGCTTGAAAACATAATATATTGATCGTAAATAAAGTGAAGATTCCGAAGATACTAAGTTGCAGCGTTCACTCTACCACAAACTAAACCCCGAGTACTAGAGTTCAAAATAATCAGAGCATAGAATTGAGCTACCGCCATCATACTAATAAAACCAATACCCTACCAATAATTTTTTGGATCAAAATCTAGAAGACAATACAATCATTTACCAATAATTCACTCAATGCATGATAAATGTATTGCATCGCACATAAATGCATATGCCCTGTAAGTCATTTCACATTTGATGATAATTATAAACATAAAATAATCCAAAGATGACGTTGAAAGAAAGCAAGGAAGTTCTCCAAATTTTAAATTTTGGTTAAGGTAAATCCAACGGTCACAATCTGGCACCTTTCTCGTGGAATCACTCCGCCCCTCACAAGCCTCCTATGCTAGATCCCATCCCCTCCATGTTACCATTTCCCCACTCCTCCAACCCCAATCCGTCCCCACCATCTCCCCCCATCTCCATATTTATACACCCCCTCCCTCCTTCCCCTCTCCATCCTAACCCCTTCCTCGCAACACCATGTGCAACTCCAAGATCGACGGCCGGCCGGCCCTCCAGCCAACCATCAACCACCACTCCGCCTCACCCGACCCAACTAAATACACCAAAAAGCCAACTTCTCCTTCATCAAAAACAGTTTTGAAGAGAAGGAATGATCCTAACTGGCTTACTTCAAGCAGCGAGAAGCCACCCACCCCAAAGTCCGCCGCAAAGCAGCCCATCGTTGTCCGAAAGAAATCAAAAAAAGTTTTTGCAGGGGGAATTCAAGGTTTGGAGACCATGGCTGCAGCGGGAAGCATTGCGGCGGCGCAGAGGGACCAAGCGTTTCTGATGAAGCAGCAGAGAAAACTGCGGGTTGCGCAGTATGGAAGAACGGCGGCGAAGCTTCAGAGTGAAGTGGTGGCTGTTGATTCAGTGAGTAATGGGGAGGTGAATCAGGAGGAGAAGAGATGCAGTTTTATTACATCTAATTCAGGTTGGAGGAATCAAATGTCCAGTTCGTTTTCCTGCTCTGTTTTATTTAAGCGAAAAAAAAAAAAATGTAATTTTGGTTCTTCTGCTATGTTACAGATCCTCTTTATGTGGCTTACCATGATGAGGAATGGGGTGTTCCTGTTCATGATGACAAGTGAGCTTTGTTTCCTCTTCTCATTTGTTTGTGAGAATTGATATTGGATTGGGATGCTAAGTTAAAAAGGCTTCTTTTTAATTGATTTTTAAGGCCCAAGTTTTCTCTTTTATCCATGAAAGGACAAATTAGCCCTGCATTATAAATGAAATTTAGGAAAATATGGATCATTTACATTTTTCTATTGTAGTAAACTTTTAGTAGATGGTAACTTTCTTTGGCCTCTTTTACATGTTTTTTGTTTGTAGAATTTTGTTCGAGTTGTTAGTACTGAGTGGGTTTCAAGTAGGACTGGATTGGACCACTATATTGAAGAAGAGAAAGAAATACAGGTGAAAAAGGCTGCATATATGTATTGTTTGTTTGTGTAATTGGCTCAATGGAAGTAAAAGTTTAATTTTTTTTTGTTTTATCTTCTGTTACAGTGAAGCTTTCGCTGGGTTTGAAGCAGAGGAGGTGGCAAAATTCACAGAAAGACAGATTAGCTCAATCTGCTTAGACTACGGAATTGAGCAGGGGAGGATCCGAGGCGTAGTAGACAATGCTAACAGAATTCTTGAGGTATTTTAACTAAAATTTATTGTAGTTTTCTAACAATCAGAGCTTGATTTTTCTTATATATATATTAAGTTA